CGATCGTACCCAGGCAACCAGTTATACAATCTTCTGCTTAGTTGGTTGCCTCCTAACGCGTTCCTGCTCTTTCACTCATAACTAGTTGGATTGGATTATGGGGATCAAGTCATTCGTGGGGAAGAGTAAACGAATTTTTCAATTCCAATATTTTATTTACTGCTAAGTACACAGTGGGTGTTTTCAGAAGTCAAAAAAGGCAATGATAACGTTTATCAGCAAAAAAATAAAAAAGCAACAATATCAAACAACATACACAAGATCAACACTATTACTTGTAATATTTTCAGATGCATAAAAGGATATCTACGATTTTTGAGACACGCATACCATCTAGTTTTTTCTATTTCCAGATTCCAAACTGCCTGAGCATACTCGCTGCCTAAAGAGTTATCCAATTTGGGCACAGCGATAAATTGTTCCTTATTTTCATACGTTATAACAATCAGTAGACGTGTGGACAGTTACAGATCTGATAGAGCTTCAATTGATGTATGACTATTAACCGTTGTTGGTTGATCATCATATAATATAAGGTTATTCAATAGTCTACAGTTGGATGATTCACTGATATACAGGGTGTTCCTTAATGTAATAATTGAAGAATGCAGTTTTTTTATATGTCACTGGCTTTTGACATCTGACAAGTCGCTGTTATTCAAATCTGTTCGCTGTGACATCTTTTTCATCATTTAGTTTTTACAATCTTGTTAATAATGGTGAATTATTCAAATGCACAAATGGCGGAAATGCATTACGTATATGGCCTTGCCGACGGTAATGGTGAGCAAGCCAGACGGATTTATCACCAGAGATATCCCGATCGTGCTTTGCCAGATAGTCGAATCTTTTCTAATATTCATCGTCGTCTTGGAATTGCGCACTCGTTGAAATATCCCTGGAGTGTTTTTTATTCTATCACAAGCGCATATCATTAAGGAACACCCTGTATATCAAGAAAAGGATTGAGCCCTGTGGGACCCCGTATTTATGAAGAGACTGAACTGTAAAATATGCAAGTCGATGTTTATTGCACAAATATGAGAGTAAAACTATGCTACTATTATCGAAATTGTAGTATAAACGTTTTTTCAACAGTATTTGATGTTGAACACAGTCAAACAGATCGAAAAATCTCACTATACAATATGAACCATTTTGCGAGGCAAAATTAATATAATCAACAGAAGCATTAAGAGCTGATATTGCTGATGTATGACATCTAGAAAAACTGACAATTAGTACATAGATTATTTGATTCAAAAATTATTATTTGATATTTCATCAGCCCCTAAAAGATATTGGCAATAACTGGTACCAGGAAGATGGGTCTGTAATTGGATACGTCATCAGCGTCACCGCTTTTTGAAGGGAATATCTTTGACAATCCTGAAAATATGTCGAAAAGTGTTATGAGTTATGCAAAGGTTAAATACTTTTGTTAGCGGTATAATTATGAGATTTTTGATATATTTTATTATTTTTACAAAAATATTTACATCCTTTGATTTGTCTAGAACGTCTTTCACTTGATAGTATGATACTATTTAAATTTGAAACATGATAAATCATCGATTTTGTTTAAAAATCAATTAACGATAATCTAGTTCAGACTACTGTCAAATACGACCTCAAGATACCTTTAATATAAAGTAATACAAATTTAATTTTATTAGCCTCCCTCTCATAAGTTCTCTATAGCCGTATTCCGTATTTCCAACTACAAACTGGATTCCAGGCAACCCTAGTAACTACAATGGCCAACATTTTAATATCAAAGTCCTCTGGTAATTCAGAAGCGGTCAGAGTGGCGTTCCCTGAACAATACAGCCTCTGTATGCGCGTATATATATATTTAGAGTGGAAATCTCAAACGGGAATGTTACATTTTAGCTCTGGTCGCAATTTTAATCCAACCTGTCCCTTTTGGTCGGGTCCCAAAGCGGCCTTTCCCGTTTTAATGTTCATTTAGCTGCAGTGAAATGAACAAGGGAAAATGGTGAACACAATTTAATAGGTCGTGTTGAGATAATTAAGGGACACAGCGAACGTCCATTCCGGACGGATCTTTTGTCGTTACCCGACTTGCACAGGACCGGGCTCAACAACAGATTTTTTTAAATATACTCGCAATGATGGGCATCGTGTGAAATAGGTCGTTGTATACGCGTATGAACAACTAAGTCAGCAGACCTGCTGCTGGCGGCTACTATGCACTCACGGACATGCAGCCTCCTGCGTCCGTTTGTTAAGTCATATTGCAGAACGTTTATAGTACCCTTTTACAATTGTAATTATACTAAGTGACATATAAATCCGAACACCCAGTTTAAATGGTTTTATTTTAATAAAAGTTGGTGAATGTATTTATCTTACTGTAAATAACAAGTGAAAAAATTTTCAGCCTTATAAGTTGGACATTCCGGTTTTTATACTGCTTTTTTTTAATTCACTAACGCTCTAAAAATGAATATTTCTGCCGTAGTAAAGAATCAACGTTGGCGGATTTTGGTTCTTGACATCTTTTACGATCGGTTACGATGCCTAGAGTACGGAGACCTGTACGATTTCCTCAACTTAGTGAGTTTGATAGGTGCCGTATAGTGGGACTTCGGGAAGCTGGACTTTCAGTGTAGACACTGTGGTTAGGTGTTGTCAGGCATGGCTTCGAGAAGGCCGTACGCAAAGAGCAAGGGGTACTGGACGCCGCCGTAGAACAACAGCTCGTGAAGATCGCCGCCTAAGATTATTGGCCTTAAGGGACCGTTTCTCCACTACCAGGTCCATTGCAAATGAATGGTTTGCAGAACACGGAAGACCTATTGGCATGCGAAGTGTTTACCGACGAATGAGAAGTTTTGGCTTGTTTTCATACCGGCCACACTGGGTCCTCCCTTTAACTCGAGAACACCGACGTAATCGCCTTGAGTGGTGCAGACAACGGTCACTCTGGGATCAGGAATGGAACAGTATTGACTTTAGTGACGAGTCTCGATTTTGTTTAGGCATGCACGATGGTCGTGCCAAGGTTAGAAGGCGACGTGGTGAAAGGAGGAATCCACAGTTTTTTGTTGAAAGACATGTTCATCACACTGTTGGAGTTATGGTTTGGGGTGCTATAGCTTATGGTTCCAGGTCACTTTTAATCTTCATCAGAGGTAACATGAACGCGCAGCGTTATATCCACGAAGTTCTAGAACCCCATCTTTTACTAGGGTAGACACCCTGGCAGATCCATCTTTCCAACAAGATAATGCCCGACCACATGTTGCAAGAGTCACAATAGACTTCTTTCAACATAATGATGTCACATTGTTACCATGGCCACCAAGATCTCCCGACTTATCCCCAATTGAGCACGTGTAGGATATGATGGGTAGGAGATTGCTCAATTTACAACGTCCTCCTCAGACTCTAGAAGCACTTCGAGAGGAGTTGGTGGTTGCCTGGAATGAGATACCACAGGAGGACATTGACCACCTGATCAGAAGCATGCCTAGGCGCGTTCGAGAATGCGTAGTACATCGGGGTGCATCCACATATTATTAAAGGTCAAAGGGATTTAAAGCAGTGCAATCATTTTGAAATTTTTATCATTTACTTATTGTGCTTCATTAAGTACTTATACAAAATTTTATTAAAATAAAACCATTTAAACTGGGTGTTCGGATTTATATGTCACTTAGTGTTCATTTCGCAATTGCAAAAGAAGTGACTTCCGAATGTATGTGAGAATTAATGTGTAAATACGGCCCTGTATTCCGAAAGCTCCAGCAAGCTGTGAGTTTCCTGTGCGGCCTTTCCATTTTGCGTTTTCGTCGTGAAAAACGTCGGAGTGCGGTCTTAATTGGTTTCAAGATCGACGGAGGCTCTGGACCGTTGCCAACGCTCCGCCGTCGATGAAATTTTATTATTCGTTTCAAATGCAGATTTGATTTCGATCTCTTTTGTGAGTTGTACACACAAAGGTTGACGATCTGATATTGGTGTATAGAAAAAAAGGAGTCTGCACTGCCAAGGATTATGTTCGGCCGCTAAAGAAACTACACGGACCAAGCCAAACATAACCATACAATTATTCCGTTGAAATATCCCCTGCTGTACCCGCACTGTGCCGGCCATACGACAAGTTGACTCAGTCTGATGCTTACCGCAGTTACCAGTCGCAGCACTTGGCAGTAGCGCCAGGACACTTACCAACACCGACACGCCCGCCGGTGAACCCGGAGACCGGAAGCGTATGGGAATATATACCGTTTCTGCCCCACACTCCTCCTTGTATGTGTCATTACTGTGAATGTCACTGTTGAGGGCTATTTCCCTCGATGACATATTTTTATTTTCCATCTTGTCCAGTCCATTTTTCTTGGTTTTCGTTCATATTTCTTTGTTTGAGGGTTTGATTAGTTCCTAACAAAATTTGATTTTCTATGCATTAGATTTTATAAGCAATAATATTTTTGTATTTATTAGTGCCTTTCAATAATGAGTATTATTTAAATTACAAATTCGATTGAAAAGCAAGCTATTTATAACAAATTGACAGATTGGCCTTTTCGTGGGTTTGAAGCTCCAACCAAAAGCTGGTGCTTGAAGGGCAAGGCGGGAAGTAAATTTGTGTTCCGTGTGCAAACCCAAACATAACCTGGAACAAGTTTTTATTGCAAATAGGCGCGCGGGTCCTCGATTGAGTGTGCAAAAGGAACGTCTGGAAAGCAGGCTTGTTTAGTGTTCTGTTATCTGTCTCTAATTCACCTACCTGAATTTTGATTATTTCCAAAACATTATTTGTCAACAGGCCACTTATCGCGACCTTTGGAAAATCGTTTTGTGCATCAAAACAAACACTAAATCATCACATTTAAGCTTTTTTAAACACAAATCTGATGGCGATTCCCCGTCCGTCCGCCAGTAATAACAATAATTAAAAATCCATTAACCAAACGTATTGTTCGCAAACACAGTGTGACCAACTATATGTACGTTTTGTTTCGTTTCAGACGAGAACAGGGACGTGAACGGACATCCGGAAGATGACCTCAAAAGACAACGATCGCAGTATAATGGTGACCAGCTTTATTCAAACGTAAGTTCATAGCGGTTATTATCTCTGTGATAAATTGTTGCTATGTTTGGATGGTAAGTGTTCCGGTCAAGGGCCAAGGAAGGAATCGGGGTTGAAAGGGTAGTAAGAAGGTCATAAATTCCTTGGGAGCTGCAAGGTACAATCCACATAAAGCCGTCTAGCACTGTGGCGCGTTTATGCTAAATAGCGATAGCCCTGGAGTACCTTAGCAGTCCGCAACGTTCAATCAACAAACTATCAAATGTGGGAGATATGCGGAAACTTCAAACAAACTGTCAACGCTGTTCCATGGCCTCTACTATTCGTCATAAAAGCGCTACCCTGATCCGAAGATCCGCTAGCGTTTGTGAATGATGATGTCAAAAGATCACTACGGAAGAGGGCTGACTATTGTTGCTATGTTTGGATGGTAAGTGTTCCGGTCAAGGGCCAATGAAGGAATCAGACTTGAAAGGCTATTAAGAAGGTCATAAATTCCATAGAAGATTCAAGGTACAATCGACATAAAGCCGTCTAGCAGTGTAGCGCGTCTATGCTAAATAGCGGTAGCCCTGGAGTACCTTAGCAGTTCGCAACGTTTAATCAACAAACTATCAAATCTGGAAGCCATCTGGAAACTTCAATCAAACTGTCAAAGCTGTTCCATGGCCTCTACTATTCATCATAAAAGCGCTACCCTGATCCGAAGATCTGCTAGCGTTTGTGAATAATGATGTCAAGGGATCACTACGGGAGAGGGCTGACTAGTGTTGCTATGTTTGGATGGTAAGTGTTCCGGTCAAGGACCAAGGAAGGAATCGGGCTTGAAAGGGTAGCAAGAAGGTCATAAATCCCATAGAAGCTTCAAGGTACAATCGACATAAAGCCGTCTAGCAGTGTAGCGCGTCTATGCTAAATAGCGGTAGCCCTGGAGTACCTTAGCAGTTCGCAACGTTTAATCAACAAACTATCAAATCTGGAAACTTCAATCAAACTGTCAAAGCTGTTCCATGGCCTCTACTATTCATCATAAAAGCGCTACCCTGACCCGAAGATCTGCTAGCGTTTGTGAATAATGATGTCAAGAGATCACTACGGAAGAGGGCTGACTAGTGTTGCTATGTATGTCTAGCAGTGTAGCACGTTTATGCTAAATAGCGATAGCCCTGGAGTACCTTAGCAGTCCGCAATGTTCAATCAACAAACTATCAAATGTGGGAGATATGCGGAAACTTCAAGCAAACTGTCAACGCTGTTCCATGGCCCCTACTATTCAGCACAAAGCGTTTGTGAATGATGATGTCAAGCTCACTACGAATTTTCGCTGGTCGACATCGAGGAGGCCATGGAAGAGAGCTGACTTGAGTTAGTGTATCGTAGCTATATCACTGAAAATATTTCTTTTTGCAGCTGTGGTCCTCGAAGTGGTCGATCAAAGACGAGCACAAGCTCCTGAGCGAACTCGGGGGCGGCGCGGGGGGCGGCCAAGCGGGCGGTGGAGGCGGTGGAGGTGGTCAACCAGCGGCCTACTACGATGCCCACGCTGGGTTCGGTGGTTCCCCCGCTTCTGATCTGTATGACACAATAGGAGGCATGGGCCAGGCGCAGGGCATGTATGGGGCGCCTGCGTTAGCGGGAACGCTAGGTAAGTGATGGGCTTAAAATTTTTTTTATGAAAAACTATTTGATGTTAAATGTTTGCTGGAGAAAGGTTTCGACGAGAAGTTCTGTCGGTTTTTTCTATAAATGAAGCTCTTAATGCTGAAAATATGACAGGCAACTCTTTTGGAGAACACATTCTCATGTTTCCACCTCCATGAAGAGTAATACAATCAGGACTAACAAGATATTCACGTGAAGAGTTGGCAGAATTGAAATGAATAATCAGACCAATGTCTTGCTTTATGGTTCTATCGTCTTAGAAAGAAAATGATCCTTAGTAGGTTTTCTCTAAGGTTGCTGGCTGGTTAGTGGATAAAAAATAACAGTCCAAAACATACAAAATGGCCATTTTTTTGGCTAAACGTTTCGCCTCAGTTTGTGTTATTGTATTTTTATCGACTGCTATTTATACGATCACATGTGCTACCACTAATATTATTGACAAATTTAAACTTCAATTTTACTTTATGAGATCCCAATGCGTAATCTACGCTTTTTTATTGTGTTGCCTTCGAAAAACTGTCACGGAAAGGTTCTTCTTGACACAGCTCAAGTGAAACACTCTTTAAGTTTTCACTTAACTTATATACCCCAGTAACGTCTGAAGGTCAATTTCTAAAAGATCTACAAATAAACAAAACTGACAGCTATCTGATCTACATGATAAACGGGATCAGACATGTCTTATAATACGCTTTTTGGGTCGCTAAAAGCGAATCCATGGCCCATTCAGTCCGAAAATGCCTCATTTTCGAGATACTTGCAAGAATTCAACTTTGTCCAAAAAACGACAAATAAAAAATATCTAAAAACTGTTGCGCGTCTATGATCGAGATGCAAGCTTGTTTCCTGGGTAAATCGGGTGCGCAGATTCCAAATTCGATGTCGATACAGTGCTAGAAATTACGGCTAGCCCGGAAAAATGGTTTCCCGTCAACTTTTCACCCTAAATCTAGTCTGATGACACTTTGGAATTTTTTCACTATGATATTCATATTCAGCGCCCCAAATTCCCTCATTGAGCAAAGCGTCACTACCATGTAGTCATCGATAGTAAAAATGGCACCTTAGAGTCGGAAGAAATGTGTAGTTTTTCGATAAATAATTAGATCTAAATGATAAACGGGATCAGATACACGTGAAACGACTTCGGATTCGGTATTGGCAGTTCAAAATACCTGAAATGAACCGCATTTAAAGCACTTTAACATATAATTATCATGTATAGGGGTATTCTTACCAAAAAATGGCACAAAATGGGTCATTCGGGAACGTAAGCGCAACATGTCTTATAATACACTTTTTGGGTCGCTGAAACCGAATCCATGGCCCATTCAGTCCGAAAATAAAAAATATCTAAAAACTGTTTCGCGTCTATGATCGAGATGAAAACTTGTAACTAACTCACAACATACCTAACCTACAATTTGACAACTCATGGCAGAACTCGAACTGCTGTTCAACGCACTATACAGGGTGTTTCAATAAATCCACATCAACTTCTGGCTCAGCGTTATAAGATGAACTGCATGCACGCGTCTTGTTTTGTTATTTTTATTTGTTTTTGATTTTATCAGTACATTTAAAAATAATTTAATGTAGGTGGAGGGTCACTAACGCCCCTGGCGCCCATAACAATGCATGAAATGAAAATCGAACCCTCCAAACTCATGGAAAACCCCATGTCACCGTATCATTCCGGTAAGTACTATAATAAATGCTTCTCATGAACTCAGCTTAATCTCATTTCGTTGGTTAGGAAGGATTTTTCAGTTTTTGCAGAGTGTAATCTACACAATATACTTTTTTCACTGATCACTAATGGAAAAAACTGATATTATGCTTGGCTCTCGTTACATTCAAATATATCATAGAGGTAAAACATCGTAGATCCAAAAACTGAGGTTTTAAGTAATGGAGAATGAATTATAGTCTTTTGTACATCTGAGCTACTGATATTATTCAGTATAAATACATCACGTAAAATAGAAAGAAGAAAACATGTCCAAGGCTATTAATAAATTTAGTGAAAGTGCGGGTATATTGTGTATATGCTCTTTCACCATATATTAAAAAGCTTGGACGATACGTTTGAAGCACAAATTATAGACATACATTTAGCAAGACTTTGAAATTATGGCAAATAGTAATGACAAAATGTTTGAGATATTATGCCAAGCCAAAACGTTACTTCTTGTTCTGTATTCAAGGTAAGACGAAAAATACGTGATTGTTTTTTATTTCGTTGAAATAGTTGCTTTATCTGTTGCGAAAATGTGAATGATACATGACATATTTTTAATTTGCTGTTGCATTGCATGCATTTTTTGTTTTTGTTTTTTATATGGCTCACTTTATGCAATTTCTATATCCGATGAATGGTCAAGGAAAAAGAAGAATTGTGCGAAAATTAATAAAATAGCAGCATATATACTGGCTGGCATCTTAGATAGTGATTCCCCGTGACTCCCCGCAAGATGCTTCGTATTAGAAATTCAGGAATCTGAAAAACATATTTTTTTACAAATATTCAGACAATTACGTCAAAATTTAGTAGATGCAGACGTATCCCTGAAATCATTACAAAACCGCTGCTACAAATCGTCATGGCCACCTAGACCACCGGATTTAAACCCCATAAACTTCTTCATTTGAAAGGTTTATGTTTCACTGTCGCATCTTTCTTGTTCGACTTGACTATCTAAATCACATAAGGAGCTCGAAAATGCATTCAGTGATCCACATGTATTTTTTTTTTGTTTGCTTACGTGGTTTTGTTTTGTGTTCCTTGCATGTGCAGCCGAGGCAGCGGCCAGCCAACAATCGTACACTCTCGGCTTGCCCGACAGCAGTGGCGGCGGAAGCGGGTCGACGGGAGGAGGCGGTGGAGGGGGCAGCGGCTCCCCCGGCCTGCCCCCGATGCCCCCTCTATCCGCCGAATCCGCAGGCGGATCGCCTGATCCTCAGCAGGCTCTGACCGTGTTGCAAAGCGCAAGCGCGGCTGCCGCCGCCGCGGCGGCTGCGCACTACGTCGTGCCTGCGGGCGGTTTTGCCGCTGGAGGGTATTCCACCTCCGGTAAGTACCTACGAGCAGTTATGGGCGTTTCGTATACATCAATTGTTCACGCCTCGATGTATACAATGCGCATACAACGTATACAGTGATGAGGAGAATGTATACAATGATAAAGACAATGTATGGAATAGCATAAGTGAGGTTAGGTTTATTCAAAACGTCAGAAAGTTGGCTGGCAAATATGGTTGGTGGCCCGAAGAACAAAAAAATCGATGAGCTAGGGTTCATTTTGGGTACTCGACCATCCGCCACCAAGCAGGGTACTCTATCACTTGTAAGTACCTAAGAGTCAAAAATGCGGTGGACACTTTTATTATTCAGGCTGCGCGCAAGAGACTTACAGGGCGACCTAGAAGTGTCAAGCCGGAAAAGGAGGATGGTTATCAGAAAAGAAAAATTAAAAAACCTGACACGTACTTTCAAATTGAAGAGTGGTAATTCAAAAGGGTCTAAGTGCCACATTTAGATATATTCGAATTTCGGTGATTGTATAGTTTATGTATCATTACCAATAGTATACAAAACAATCTATGCGCCAGTGAAGAATCTGCAGTTCTACAGGGTGTTCCTTAATGATATGCGAATATTTAAGGGTATCAATCTAGATGAAAAATTAATTTTCCCGTCTGTCTCCGGAAGAACTTTGAATATCGAAACTTTCTGTGCGGCATTTACCTAAGTAGGCAATCTTATCGCGATTTAAGCGACTTCATATTTCTTACAGTTCCCGAGACCTCAATGGTGAGGATCGAATAGAATTATAACGGAAAAGAGCAAACAATAGATTTTATTCACATTCAAGCTCTCAAAAACACATGTTGGTTGAGGTCAACATTACCAGATATAGGGTTAAGGTGTATTTTTGTCTTTTCAGCAGGCAGTGCGGTGGTACCAGGCAGCGAGTACTACAGCACCGCGTACAGTCAGTACGGCGCGACGTACGGCACCTACGGCTATGGCACCGCCTCCAGCGGGTTACTCAGTAAGTAAACAGTGAGTATTTTAGACATGTAAGTCCACTATGAAAAATACTCCACCTTTTATGATACCTACCAGTTATTGATAAAAAAAATATTCCCGCTAACACGTTGGTATTTAAAGGAAATTCAAAAACAAACCGAAAAGGTATTTGGTTCGAACGTTACTGTCTAAATAAGCTAAAAGCTGATACGTATAATGACTAGTCTTATCGAGAAATTCAGAACGTAGTACTTCATTCCATTGACCTGTTTCTGAAACAGTCCTTTGTGGTGGCTTGGCCACAGTTTCGGCCCCTAAAATACCTGCGTCAAATGTACCTTCATTTCTTTCTGCCACCAATTTCACCTATTCTCGTCTTTCTCACATTGCACCGAAGCACCTGTTTCTTGTGAATTAATTTCTTGTCGCAGTCTCGTAAGCGCATTAGCTGGTCTTTTTTAATTATAAGAATGCCCTTTCCCACTTGTGGACCGCAGTTTCCAGCGGGCTGATCAGGAGCTCATCAATCTTCTGTCTTTGAAGTACCGCAAGAACTTGATTTGCTCTCCCTCATTTTTAAGAGCTTCTCCCAGTTCAATGTGTCTAGCTGCAAATGCGCTGGCACTTCGTCGTTCCTCTTCTGTTTCGTTTGTCAATATCAGAGTACTGGCATCCTTCAAGGAAGCATTAGCTTGCCATCTCGCTACCTTAGCCACCTGGAAGCATGGTTCTGGACAATCTGCTTCCTTGATCAACTCGATGAACTTTTTGATATGTCATCTAGTCCTGCATTCAACTATTGCATCAGCAGAGCATTAACCCTTCTTTTTCTTCTTTGCAGCATCGGCGTACTACTACAACCCCTGCGACGGCCAGCTAAGCGCCGTCCCCCATCACAACGGCTCCGCCCACCAGCATCTGGTAGGCGGGGCCACCGATAACACCGCCTCCGAACTCGAAGCGAGCAGCCGTAGCCCAGTGGCGGCGACCAGGGCGAATTCATTGGCCAGCGCCAATTCGCCGACGGAGAGTGGCAGTGCTTGTGTCACTAAGACAGAGGGCATGTTCAATGGACATGAGTTACAACTGTCGTAAGACTACGATTTTTTATCTGTTTGTTATTCAGGAGCGGAAAAAATAGTAACTACGATCGATACATAATACTCCTGTCAATACGGATACTTAGCCGCAAACGTCAAAGTGTGACGTAATCCGGAAAAGCTTGACATAATAGCATAACCTCAAAAATACTGCCTACGTACCAGCAATATTGATTGTTCACGATTTTGGTTTCCGTGGCGTTTTGTTACTATACCGGGTGATTCATAATGTATTTGCAATGTTCCAAGAAAAGCATATTGAAAAACAACACGAAAAGTTCTATATACAGATACTAGGAAGTGTCTCCACACCAAAATAAAGATAAATTGAAACTCGAAATGTTTGTCAGACCATTGCTTATGGACCAAAAATTGTTTTAATTTTTTAAACAAAATTTCAAATATCTCATTTTTCAGGAATAAAATAAAAATACTAACGTTTAGCATAGAAAATTGCATCAACTATTTTCTGGAAAATTGCAAACATTTTTTAAATAAATCACCCTGTATATGAAACAAATCTACTCAAAGATATCAAAAATCTGAAATGGAATGATTTTTTAAAATATGCCCTCTGTCATAGATAATGACCGAATCCGTACAAAACCTTGAGAAGAAAAGAACGATGTTCAAAGTAATGAGATTATAATTACGCAATCCACACATTGGGGGATTCAAAATATTGATATTTTTTTTTGTAAATATGTAACATTTCAACATACATGAAGGCACATGCAATGTCCTTTTTTGTGAAAAGCTCGAATTTTTAGGAGATCGTCAAAGTTACCACTGGAAGTTGGTAGAATTATTGCATTATATGACAGATCAGATAATCCTTTTTTCAGAATACTCTTATTCAAGAAAGTTTTGAAATCTTCCCGCCATGGATAAAAAGAAAAAACGTCGAAAAGTTTTGTCATGGAAGAACCAAAAACTACTTCACTCGCTTTCACCCTTTGCTCCCCAGGGACATCCCCTTAAAAATTTTAAAAGACAAGGGATATCGAGTAGTAGCTTGTTTGAAAGGTCTTTTGAAGTCCCTTATTTTGACGTTTGATTTTTCATAATTGGTCGATTCTTTCCCTTAGCAACAAATAACTTAACAGGAATAACAATAAATACAGTTCGTTCAGTATATCTGTGTTGATGAGACGGATGCGGAAAATATTCGGGTTGTGATTTGGTTGTTGCCACGTCTACGGAATTGCTGTTTATGCTGGTAGTTTCCGTTTTGAATTGTAAACGAATTGTAGATTTAAAAACTCTAACGGGCAACATTTTGAACACTTATTGAAATAAAAAGTATTATTTTCGTGTGTTTTTGTTTTCTATTAAAACAAGTAAAGATTTTTCTAAATTTCTCGAAAACGAATCGACTGATTTTAAAAAAGCAAACTTCAAAATAAAGGACCTTTCAAACATGCTGTTACTTGATACCCCCTGGTATTTAAAATTTTTAAAGAAATGACCCTGTGGGGGGCAAGGGTGAAAGGGGGTGGAGTATATTTTGCTTAAAAAGTTGTCTCACTTGACAAATTTTTTAATCAGTGGTTTTCGATAAGTCCGTGGTGGCAAGTTTTCAAATCAACACTCTGTAGATTTTGAAATAGCAGTATATTACAGAAGTATATTGCAATAATTCTGTACAACGACCCGCTCTCATATCAAAGAAGCATTGTCGCGATAGGGTATCAATAAATAATAGAATCAACCTAAAAATTCGACCTTCAAGAGATGACTTAAATACCGTACAGCTCTTGAGAAAATCGAGCTCGTATGCATTTTTAAGAAATAGATACTTTCGAAACAGTTATCACAAAGAATTCTGATTAAAAATGGTTGACACAACAATTTTTTTGAATTCATGCATCAAGAAGTGATTTTTTGTTCTGATGAAGTTTCGAGGGGTCTATTGGCCGTATATTGTACTTTAACTGTGTAAAATATAGTGAGAGAAAATTTTACATTTTGCCTCTGTGTACTTATAAAGTTTTGATTTTTTATATTTCTGTACTGATACAAACGTTGTTTTTACTTTTAGCAATACTAGGTAATTCTGGAAATAACTGAATTTGTTGAAAGATGCGTGTAAATGTGTAAATAATGTGAAACTAGAATACTTAAAGTATTAAACGATTTATGAAAATAACTGTAAGATAAAGATTGGTCTCAGTATACTACGAAGATTTTTTGTTATTTATTTACGTAGTCCTTCGGTATATACTTTATAAACTGCTCGTTAAAATTAGTCGGACATGCAACAATACTATTTAACTTATTACTACTGGAAGAATATACAGGGTGACCATGATAATTATGTATCATTTTTCCTCAAGCGTTTCATTAAAAAAAAACATTTTTTTTTTAATTTCTTCAAACCAGTCAACTGGAAAAATAATGCCACAAATCCCCTGTATCTCCGCCACTGGCGCACGTTAATCTAAGAACGCGAACAGTACATACCAAACGTTAGTTCATACCAAATGACTGTTTTGAAGATATTAAAAAAATTGTTTTTTATTTTTAAACTTGAGCACCCCGTATCTTATTAATGAAGCTCTCGAGGCAAAAATATTACATAAAAGACCCCCGTCAAAATGCGGTCCTGTGTATGATGTTTCATTTTTGGTCACGACTTGTGAATCACCCTGTACATTACACATAAACAAATACATTTTGGGAAAATCTATTTACGGTATGTCTTACATGCCATCTGAGGCCACATTTGTAAAATATTGGCACATATACAGGGCGACCCAATTTGGACCTACATATCAAAGTTGTGATTTTTTAAATGAAATGCCTCAAGTTTTGTCGCATATTACACCTTACATCTAACTAGCTAATTACGATGTTATATCAATCTTCTTCTTTTGAATTGGTGTATCCAAATATGCAATAAAATTTGAGGCATTCCATTTGAAAAATCACAACTTTGATATGTAGGTCAAAATTGGGACATCCTGTATATTTGCCAATATTTTACAAACATGCCCTCAGATGTCATGTATGACATGCCGTAAATAGATTTTCCCAAAATGTATTTGTTTATGAGTAATATTCCGTCCACACATGGATGGGCCACTCTGGGTATGTTAAATATCATCAAAATAAAAATTGCTAGAAAAATGTCTTAAAAAATTCCTATCTCAAAATTGTGCCTCTAACTTTGACGACCAGTTAGTTTTGGTTGACTTAATTTTATTTTATACAGTTTAGTGAATTAAGACACACCAAAGAAATGTTTTTAAGATACATGTTATATAGAAATAGCACCTAATCATATCAACCTATAATTTGCAATGAATTTTTATTTTTTATACTGAGATTTATTGCAGATTATGTTTTAGATTTTTTGTTAGTTTGCGCACTTACAGTGTACTTTTTCAACGCCTGACAGATCTGTTGAACCTTTGTAGGTAAATAGCTAGTCAAAGAATAACACTTACCTTACTTTTAGTATGATTTCAATCAAATATTCGGGGTGATACAAAAGAGATATTTCCGATTTTCTGTCGATAATTTTAAAACGTTTTTACCGAAGTTGTAGCTTCTGAAAATTGGTACAGTGACGACAGAATAACTAGTAAAAACTAGATAAAATTTTATAATATTTATATTGCTTCAAAAGCTGGTTTGAACAGTGGCGTGCGTTCGGGTATTGACTTCGAAATTTTTTAAGAAAAAATAGTACGCCAATGGTTTTTTGCCAAATAAAGGGGAATTCAAAAATAATTTTTATTTGGCAAAACACCATTGGCGTACCACTTTTTTCCTAAAAAATATTGAAGTCAATACCCGTTCGCACGCCACTGTTAAAGGTAAAAATTGTTTTTGCATAGAGTTTTTGTAAGGAAACATTTTTGGACCATAGTTTATAAAGCAAACTAACATTTATTTTCCATGTAGATTCAGGTTTAAATATTCGCATATCATTAAGGAACACCCTGTATACTGATATAAAAAATAGAGCTCTAGGCCCAAACTTGATCACCCTGAAATATACCAGAGAGAAGTTTTTTGTGAAATTTTCGAAAAAATCAAATTGCAGTCGAGACGTATGGAGGCTTAAACTATCTTTTTTATAACATTTTGAAAAAGTTTTATCAGATACAGCTGCTCCTAAAAAGCAGCAAAATTATCAAGTCCTTTCTAAGTATTTTCCTGAGATTGATATTATTGCAAGGTTCATAAAGGTGTATACTTGGTTTTTTTAAAGCTCCAAATGTCTGAACTATTGCTTCGTGAAAATAATAGTGACAAAAAGGTAACATGTAAAAAAGTTATATATTTTTTGTAAAATGTGTAATAATATACCAAAGAAATGACTTAGTTTACAAAGCTGTCAGCGGTATTATAAGTATTAATTTGTAAAATGTGATAGGCCCTTTTAATCAGGCCCCATCTTGCTCTTTACTTACCCTGTCACATTCACGCATAATTTTAGACAGTTTATATTTAGAAAAACAAATAGATACATATAAATAAATGGCTTTTTCTTACTGTCCTTACGAGGGCGGTTCAATAGGTACCCGTGCTCGACGACAGAGGGCGTTCCTGGGGAAAGTTAATGTTATCATCGTGTGCTGCCATCTATCAAAGGACGGCACAATAAATGTCAGACTGATTGATAGGTTAGTTTAGATTTGGCAGCCGTGTTTCGCTAAGATGGAAAAAGAGCAGTATCGTTCGGTAATTCACTTTTTGCTTTTGGATGGGAACAAATGCGAGGAGATAAAAGCAAAGTTGAGGACACTTCACCATCTATGACCACAGTTAGAAATTGGTAAAACGAATTTAAACGTGGGCGCTTCTGATGAGGATCGACCAGGACGCCCGGCAGACGTGGTTACCGAGGAAGTCATTCAAAAAGTCCACGACATGATTATCGACAAACGAAAGTGCGAAAAGTAGCAGAGGCCGTAGGTGTGTCGACCGGAACGGCAATCAATATTTTACATGGTAAGTTGACTATGAAAAAATTGTTGTGAGTGCCGCGATCTAAGCAACAATGAAAACATTGGATTTCTTCAGGTGAATCTGCTCCAAAGAAGGCGAAGACAGTCCCATCGACCGGAAAGGTCATGGCGACGATTTTTTGGGATGCGCACCGCGTGTATTTTTTAGCAAAGGAAGAACGATCACTGGACAATACTATAGTGAGTTATAGGACCGCTTCGACAAAAAAATGAAGGAGACACGGCCACATTTGACGAAAACGAAGGTGCTGTTTCACCACGATAACGCACCAGCACATTCATCCGGAGTTGTCGCCGCCAAACTGCATGAATTGCGTTATGAAATGCTGCCGCACCCCCCGTATTCACCCGATCTCGCCCTCTGCGACTTTTTCTTGTTCCCTGACATGAAGAAACGGCTCGCGGGCGAAACATTTAGCTCAAATGAGGAAGTCGTCGCCGAGGCAGGCGTATTTTGGAGAGTTCGACAAATCCTATTTTTTTGGGGAGGTTAAAAAAAATGGGAAGAGCTTTGGAAAAAGTGTATCTTTCTAAAAGCGTATTATGTTGAAAAATAAAAAGATTTTTTTTGGAAAAAATGGTGTCTTTATTTCTAACACGGGTATTTATTGAACCGCCCTCGTACTATTCCATATTCGTGTATTTAAGAAACATGCAGCAATCCAACGTTCTTCTTCACTGGTAGTCGAGGTTTTTGAAAAGCATCAGGGTCTGTTGCTTGACAACACACACGTCAGGACCTTCGACATCTATTATGAAATTTTTTTAACACGCTTTTATTAGCTTGGCCTGTATGAATGTAACGGAATCTTTTTGAGCATAATTTTCACCAACTTCCAGTCTGTAAAAGGCAGATATGTTAATAAAAAGCCACTGACTTCAAATGCCGCTTTACAGTGGCAGAGCACTGGTCTTGTAAGCCAGGGGTCGTGAGTTCAATCCTCAGAGGAGGCAGATTGTACTATTCCTTTTTTTTTATTTTTTTAACACACTTTTATTAGCTTGGCCTGTACGAATGTAACGGAATCTTTTTGAGCATAATTTTCACCAACTTCCAGTCGGTAAAAAGCAGATATGTTAATAAAAAGTCTCGGATTTCAAATACCGCTTCACAATGGCAGAGCACTGGTCTTATAAGCCAGGGGTCGTGAGTTCAATCCTCAGAGGAGGCAGATTGTACTATTCCTTTTTTATTTTTTTAACACACTTTTATTAGTTTGGCTTGTATGAATGCAACGGAATCTTTTTGAGCATAATTTTCACCAATTTCCAGTCTGTAAAAAGGAGAAACGTTAATAAAAAGCCTCGGATTTCAAATGCCACTTTACAGTGGCAGAGCCCTGGTCTTGTAAGCCAAGGCTCGTGAGTTCAATCGTCAGAGGAGGCAGATTGTGCTATTCCTTTTTTAACACACTTTTATTAGCTTGGCCTGTATGAATGTAACGGAATCTTTTTGAACATAATTTTCACCAATTTCCAGTCTGTAAAAAGCAGATATGTTAATAAAAAGCCTCGGATTTCAAATGCCGCTTTACAGTCGCAGAGCACTGGTCTTGTAAGCCAGGGGTCGTGAATTCAATCCTCAGAGGAGGCAGATTGTACTATTCCTTTTTTTATTTTTTTTTAACACACTTTTACTAGCTTGGCTTGTATGAATGCAACGGAATCTTTTTGAGCATATTTTCACCAATTTCCAGTCTGTAAAAAGGAGAAACGTTAATAAAAAGCCTCGGATTTCAAATGCCGCTTTACAGTGGCAGAGCACTGGTCTTGTAAGCCAG